GGGTTTCTGATACCCGTGGATTTTCGGGGGTTGAACCAGTTGCTGGACAAGCGGTGAATCGTCACATACGGCTGTTCCCTGCTGCTGCGGCTCCTCCTTTGTATATTCCACGCATCTCTCTTTCGGGTTTTGTTTTTGTTTTTTTAAATTCTCGTCCACGAAGCTCGATATCGACATGGTGAGCATTTATTCCAGCAGATACCTTTGAATTGAGAAATCCCTATATAGTTTATTTAAAAATTAATTTTGGCTCCAGAAAAATTGATCCTTTGACAATTTTCAGTGCTTCATCAGCCACTTTCTATACATAAAAAAAAGTTATTTGATTTCGACATTGACACGGTGAGCATTTAGTCCAGTAGATTCCTTTGAATCGAGGAATCCCTAATAGTCAATAGTCCTAATAAAAAAAATTAATTTTGGTTCTAGAAAAATTGATGAGAGAAGTTCTTCTAATATTTTTCTTCATTGCGTCATTAGCCACGTTCTATAAACATTTATTTTACAAAGTTATTTGATTTCGATATTGACATGGTGAGCGTTTATTCCAACAGAACCTTTAAAATCCATAAATCCCTAGTCTATTCAAAATTTTAATTCATGGAAAATTGAGAAGATTTCCATAGACATTTTTTCAGTTCGTCCGCATCATTCTATAAAAATCTGTTTTTTTTGTCAAGTTATTTTATCTTGATCTCGACGTGGTGAGCATTTCGAGGAGAACTCTTTTAATTGGGAATTCATAGTTTTATTTTGATGTAGTTGAATTTTAACTCATAACATATTTCAAATGGAGAAAAATTCTATTGATTTTTTCTCAGAGCGTCAGCCACGTTTTAAAAAATTTCAAAGATATTTCAAATTTCAAAGCCTTGAAAATTTTGAGTTTATTTCTTACAAATTCTTATTGATATTTGGAGAGAAAATGTTTTTTCTTATGCCAACAAATCTCTACACCCATGAAAAAATCGTCACAAACAGTTTTATTTTATCCCAATGTAGATTTTAACAATTAATCCAAGTTTTCATGAATTCAATAAGAAGATGAAGAATTTGGGTTATAAAATAATATTGATTGCCCACAAAGGAGCTTGAAGATAATGTTTGTTCGTAAAGGTATATTTAAAAAGAATTCCCCGAGATTGAAAGCTCTTGTTATTGAAATGACAAAATTATGTCTTTCTTGAATGAAAAACAGAACTTTGGTCGTCGTTCGGAAACAATTAAATGGCGCTATAGAAGGCGATTGAAGATTTATTTTGTTTTTAGCCATCAATAAGCACGGGTTTTTCTACAAAAAGGGGAAATTTGTAGAAACATATCCTTTCTAAAGTGCAAAGGTTTATGTAAATATAAAAGGAGACACACCCGAGGAAAGATGAACAGAAATATAAATATTATCGTTTATTCTTGCTATAAAAGTTCTTCAGAATTTAAGTTTCACAAAAAATTGCTTCCATCGTCCGCATGAAGACATTTTCTCGTCAATTGTTTTTCTCGTAATTGAGTCTACCTAAATTTAAAAAAAAAGTAACCTAGAGAAATCACACGATTCTTTCTGAAATTTCTCTGCTACTTTCGGACATATTTTATCGCTTTGAGAAATTTTAATCGGTTTACAGCGAAGAGAAGAAGGTTTTAAAATGTAATTCACGATTTGTCTGCTCGGGATGCCGAACGTAAGTTGCAATTTTTTCTCATTTTTCGAAAATTTTAATTTTCGAAATTTCAACATATTATATAGACCTGCGATTGTAGTTTTCAGTTTCGCGCGAAAAGTGCAGAAAAAGGAACGTGCTTCATCATGATACTGCATTCAGATTATTTAAGAGCCAAAATTCTGAATAATCAACTTTTATAACTTCGAGCATAAAAAATAACTTACCCATTGCATTGAAAAATTTTTCATTTCATATGCGGGGAAAATTTTCATTACAGTACAGTACAGCATTTAAATTCGAGAAATTCTCTTCCTGAAAATTAATCATAACTTGAATAATTTATGCCAGTCAGTCTTCCGGTTTCCTGATTTTTGCAACGTAATTACAAATTCGTGCAGATATTCGTGCTCAAAAATCCTCATCGTAGACAAAAAATATTTATTCGCTGATTCATATCTTGCGTTTTACACACACACGAAAGTTTTCCCAAATGCAGAGCATATTCACATATTTCTGTCCTTGACTCCTATTGTTGAAAAAACTTTGAAATTTTCCCATATGGTTTTCTAATCACTAGTTGCTTTTTTTTTAGGTTTAGACATTTTTGCAAGAAACTGGAGAGAGAAGAATAAAAACTTTGTGCTTAAGGCGAGAGTTCACCAGAAATCTTATCATCCCAAAGTTTTTAAATATTCCTCATACGTGACAAATATAATATTCTACTCAACAAGAACATTTTCTCATTTCGTTATGAAGTGTTTTGGAAATTGCTTTGAAAAATCTGAGAAAAATTTAAAAATCTTCGAGCATCACAGGGGAAAATTTAAAACTTGGTAAAAAACGTATACGTATATAAATGGCGTCATGCGGAAGCATATTGGCAACCCTCGTTTATTGCTCACGAAACACTTTAATCTTCAATTTAAAAATCATCAGTGATATATATATCAGAAGGCAATTAAAAAAAATAGTTCTTTCAATTCGTCATCATCCCCAGGTGGAAAATTTGCCTTTTCCATCTACGACTTCGACGGAAATGACACCATGGATGCCTTTTACCTCGGCGATTGTTTGCGGGCCTTGAATCTCAACCCGACGGTCGCCATGGTGGAGAAAATGGGTGGCACTAAATTGCGCAGTGAGTACATATTAAATTTTAAATATAAAACACGGCAACATTTGTCAAAGAGAGAAGTTGAGTGTGCTTGCGAAAGTACTGGTGGAGCTTCACGTAAAAGCGGTCGTCGTTTGGCGGATTTCCACTGAAATAATTTTTTGAACAATTATTCATCATCCTGACCCTTTGTATATGGATAAATTTCGCGAACATTTATCGCTTCTGCTTTTTTTTTGGCGAAAACAAAGTTTTGAAAAGTCTGTATTCTGTGAAATAATTCACAAACAATGAATTTCGATCATTGTCTGAGTTTTGCAAACATTTTTCGCTATTCTACATAAACGCATTATTCTTCGTGAAAAAATTGAAAAATCTTCCTTTTTTTCGAATAGTTTCCGTGGACGATTAATTCCGACAATTGGCTACAATTCGCAAACATTTATTAATTCTATTCACTTTATTCATTGAGCCCAAATTTTAAAAGTCTGTCTTCTTTCGAACAATTTTCGCGGAATTAATCCGGAATACAATATATTGAAAATTTGCAAACATTTATTACTTCTGTACAAGTTCTTCATTTAGCTCAACTTTGGAAAAGTCTGTCTTCTGTGAAATAATTTACGGACAATTGATCCCGACAATTTTCTAGACTTCTGAAACATTTATAAATCGGTCAAATCCGCGTTATTGAGTTTACAAATTTAAGAAGTCTGTAATTTTAAACATAATTAGCGGGCAATTTATCCCAACTATTTTCTACATTTCCAAAAACATATCGCTTGCACAAATTATCCAGTAACCAAAAAAAATTCAAACGTCTGACTTTTTCAAAAAAAGAAAAGATAATCGTTACTACTAGAAAAAATATGAAAAAATAGAATTGCTGCTGAATGCGCCTGTTGTTGAAGAGCTTTCTTATTCAACACAAATAACTCGGGTCAATTTAATGTCGAATTTATTTATTTTATTTTTTTAATTGAAAACAGAGCAAAAAGTCTTCAAACCGGAGGAATTCTTGCCAATCTTCGCCGAGGTGAAGAATTCCAAGGACGAAGGGAACATTGACGACTTTTTGGAAGTGCTCAAATTGTACGACAAACGTGACGATGGCACCATGATTTTCGATGAACTGAAACACATCCTTATGGCTATCGGTGAGTATCATTATTTTTCACATACATTGCCTGGAAAGATGGCCGATGGAATCAACGATCAGCGATTAAGATTATAAAGATAATAATCCACTGAAGTAAGTAACATCATGCAGTACCTGCACAGTACTTTGAATTCCACTATAATGTAAGTGCTTTATTTATGAATAATTATTTAGTTCGAGGTTCTGTCAGCTGCCAAAATTCGATGCTTGAGAAATCTCTTCATGAAAAAGTAAGGTTCAGTAGAAAAAATAAATAAAATCCCTACGATGATACAAGCCAAATTTCCGAAATTTCTTATTCACAAAAGCTGGAAAATTTATTTTCCAATTTCTCTCAAAAATAGTTCGAAAGTCAAGAATTGTTTTGGCCAAGAACATGCTGACACTCGAGCGTATTATTTGTTTTAGTGAGTAATACATACTTCATTAGGTTAATTCAATCAATAATATCGTTGAATTTAACTGCCCTAATTTATCTTTTATTGTGATGGGTTTTCCGAAAGCATTATTTACTGTCCAAATGAGAAATTGAACATTGCAAAGTAGTTTACTTTTCTACTTGACGTACGTAACTTCGTAAAAAAAAATTAATAGACTTGAATCCCGTATGCTACTGCTGAAATATCTCATCTGCAATTTTTTCGAATTTATGCGAAAAATATTTCACATATGTAAATAAAGGTTCAGCAAACGTAACCTTAAACAGTAAAATTTCCACAGAACATGAAAAACTTCTTACCATTTTCCTAAAAGATATTTTGATATAGATTTTACCTTTTCCAATGAAAAAAGTGGCGAAAATTTTAAAATTTTAAGGAAATAAATTAATCTTGGAATTTATCCTTCTCAATTAAATCGAGTCCATCGTTTCGGTAAATTGAGTCTTACGTATTTCTTTGTTATTTTTGAGCTATTTAATTTATTCCATGCTGATTGTTTCGGTAAATGATACCGAAAACTTTCATTTCTGTGAAATGCCCGCAACCGAAAATAACTGTTTAAACGGTTCGATATTCACTACCAATAATTCGAAAACTTCCCAAAAGTAATTTAAGGTTCAAATTTATACCTATACTTAGCAAAAACATGATATTATGTTTAAGAATATGTGCGTATGTATTACAGGTGAACCTCAATAAGTCGAACCTCTGTAAGTCAAATTTTTTTCAAGTCCCTGTCCAAATTCCCTTAAAATCAATGCATTAAAAACTTCCCTAACTCAAATTCTTTTTTTTTTCAAAACATCTGTAAGTTGAATTTTCTGAGGCCTTCCGGTTATTATTTCTGTGAAATATGAAAGAGAAAATGATTAAAACAAATAATTTGATGCATCTTGAAAGGAATTGAAAGAGAAATATATAGCTAATGAACCCCTGACCCCAAGTTCAGCACAGCAGTATAAACTCATCAAGAATCAAGTTTAGGCCCAGA